CACTTGCTTCGTAGTACAATAGAAAAATCCCCACCCTAAATTTATGTCGATCATTTCCTGATTGTAAACTTTTGTCCCACCAGTGTTGTGAATCCAGCAATTTGATTGGTTGGGATAAGTGTACTAACCAATCAAATTGCTGGATTCACGTCCAAGTGACAACACTGCCTCCCACCCCACCCAATAAGAAATTGCCAACAATAACGGAGCCTGCAATTATTGCAAGTTATGAATATTTAATGCATATGCATGTATGTACCATGATTTCTTACTCCCTAACTTTTACATGGACGCATTATTTACAAAAAATTATCGAAGCGTCAATTAACAGTTATAGTAAATCATGACTAAGTTAACCGCACGTGATACAAAATGGAAACTTCTCGCAATATAACAATGCTGGGCTTTCTTCACATAGAATTTGAGTTAGTAAGAATGATAAACTCGCATTTCAGTACCATCAAACTCAGCTAGTTGTGAAGGTGATGCCTATGCACAATCTTTACTAGGGAAGGAGTCAGAACAATTGAAATTCCAAAATGGTATTCTCGATCAGAAGAGAATGGTGCTACTTCTCAATTAGCTTATAATGAAACTGATTCATCATCAGCTGGTTGATTTATGAACAAATTTGGTTAGTTTATAAGCTGGTTTCAACCGATTCATTACCAACTGGCTGTTTTATGGACCTGTTGAAACCGATTTAACACATGCACATGATATATTAACACCTGGGATTTTGCCATTCCCCTAGAATATTAACTAATATCTGTCACTCCCTTAGTGATGAAGATAATGATAATTTAGAAGGTAATAGTTCGTCAAACGATTTTGGAGACCGGAAGGATGAATGGGAATCTGAAAACTGGAGATGACAGAAATTATTCTAGTTTTGAATAGTCATTATTTTTATGGGTGCAAATGTTGCAAAACGACGAGTTAGATGTTTTGGATTTTGATAATATGGGAGGGGAGAAAAGTAATTTGGATGAGGATGATATACAAGAAATGGATCTCAAACCAGAAGAGTATTTGCGTTATCAAAAGCATCCTCAAAGAGATCCTCACGCGAAATGAAACAGTTCCACTTGCAGCACTGATAATTAAATAAAGATCTTTATGATTTGTGTTCGAGTAATCCTGGACTTTCAAAATCAATGCCAGAAGTAATACAAAATCAACTCACCAAATTATTGCTAACAGTAGATGCATAATTACTTTTTTGATACACCAGAAAAATGTATACAAAACAAAAGTAAAATGCAACGTCAATTTCACTATTAATCTTGCAGTATTTTCCGGTGTTATTCCCAAGCGAAAATTTTATTTTTAATCCAAGATTTATATTGATTGTTTATTGTTAAGCTCAACCTTACAACACATACACACTTGATTCCAGTGATGATAAATTTTGAGGTCATTTGCCTTTTTTTCAAAAGACCTTGGTCATTTCCGACTAAAATTTATAATAAAATTGAGGTCGTTTGGGGTCATTTGAGGGTCATTTCAAGGTCATTTACCATCACTGCTTGATTCACATACTAAAAGGGATTATTTATGATTATGCACACTCCAGTCACATGTTACTGCTGCACCAACCTCGATTATTTATTGGACAGACCAACTGGAGTAACCAATTCATAAAACAATTGGTTAACAGTTAGAATCGAATTCAGAATCGAATTCAAGCCGAATTCAAGCCGAATTACTTGTTATATATACATGCTTTATTTACAAAAATAAAATTAAAAAATCAACTCCGACTATTGCTCCAAAATGGAAGAGCTAATTAACTTCTTTCACGAACTATTTGATTCCTGCAATTGCTTATCCCGAATCGCCACACAACTAAAAGCACATCTTGATGAATGTGAATTAAATCTCTCGGAATTTTTCAAAAACTCTAATGATGAAAATGTTCAACATATAACAATGTTGGGATTTCTTCACAATTATGGAATTCAAGTTAATAAAGATAGTGAACTCACATTCCAATACTATCAAAACTCGGCTGATCGTGGAGATGCCTATGCACAATATTTACTAGGGAAATGCTACGACGAAGGAATCGGGACAATCGCAAATTCTAAAAGTGCATATTATTGGTATTCTCGATCAGCAGAGAATGGAAATTTATCGGGAATTAATGCTTTGGGGGGCTGTTATTATGATTCGATTGGCTGCATATGTGACTATAAAAAAGCATACGAATACTTTCTCAAATCAGCAGAAGGGGGAAACATTAGAGCACAATATAATCTCGCTTTGAGTTATGCAAACGGCAAAGGAACTAACCAAAATAAATTTAAAGCAGTTGAGTGGTATCTCAAAGCAGCAAACGAGGGTAGTGAAGTCGCCCAATATAACCTTGCATTATGTTACCAAGACGGCAAGGGCATAGATAAAGATGAGGTTAAAGCATTTGAGCTATTTCTCAAATTAGCGAATAACGGACACATTGACGCACAAATTAATCTTGGTGTATGTTATGAAAACGGTAAAGGAACAGTTAAAGATGAAAATAAGGCATTTGAATGGTATCTCAAAGCAGCAAGCGAGGGTGATGAAATCGCACAATATAATCTTGGTCTTTGTTATAAATGGGGTGAGGGAACAAAAAAGGACGAAATTAAGGCATTTCAATACTTCCTTAAATCAGCAAAGGGTGGTAATACTATGGGTCAATATTCAGTTGGTGGATGTTATGAAGTTGGAGCAGGAACAAAAAAAGACGAAAATAAAGCATTCAAGAGTTATTTTGCATCTGCAAGTTTAGGAAATCTTGAAGCAATGTTTCAAGTTGGTCTCTACTATGAGTATGGGCAAGGAACGTCCGAGGATATCCATGAAGCTTTTAAATGGTATCAAAAAGCGAATAAACAAGGGCATATGGACGCAAACTTACAAATTAAATGGGTACTTTCCAAGTAACGGGATATTATTACTTCCACATAGTTTTGGCATATTTATAATATTTAAAAAGTATTTATTCATTGAAGAGAATTATTGAAAATCGTAGTTAGTTTATGTGAAAATACACAATATTGAATGCAAAATATTGTTATTTTCTAATAATCCTATCATGCAGATTTAGTTCCTTCGAATGCTCCTTATTACATTGAGAGATGCGTCTAGAGATTTATGACTGGATCAGAAAAATCCTCTTCTGTCTTCTTAAATTAATATCACTTTTTTGGCTAACATTGCGAATATCAATAATACCATTATTAATTATTGCCTAAGAGAAGTTAGGTAAATTTACAAGTATTATTAGCACGTTTATTCAATTGCGTAGAGTGGATCTCAAAACAGCAGAACGAGGTCATATCCAATATAATCTTGTGCTATGTTACCAAGATGGCAAGGGCACAGATAAAGATGAGATTGAAGCAAATTTTCAATTGTCCAAATTCCCCAACACTGCCTTCTCAACCTTTAATAGTTGCCGGCACACATATTGGTTTGTTATCACGTGATCGCGAACCGAGCATAGTATTAGAAAGGACAACATACTGTATAGCATAACAACGTCTAAAACATCACGACTACACAATACTTTCTCATACGGAAGTAATGAAAATACTATCACTTCCTCCAATCTGTTTTTATCGTTATTCAAATAAGATTAATATGCAGCTACAAATATTTGACTAAGACATATACGTATGCGTTTCGTAAATCATATAAAACTATCGCCATTGTCAAAAATTCGCGTCTATGGCAAGCACGTTTTTGTGTTATCTATATGGCAAGAAGACGCGGAATGCTATGTTAAAATTAATGCAAAAAAACGCAGAATTAAGTGAATTCCGTATTGTCAAGTGCAACCAGCAACCGTATTATTATTATAATTTTTTCTACTATTATTATTATAGTCACAATATTTGCGAGAAAAAGGTTAACAACAACTGTTGTTGTAGTAACTCCTCGAAAATAATGCCAGCGTCGAGAATTCTTCCTTTTGGACTAATACAGAAAAAAAATAGTGAGTTTCGGTGCTCGAAACAAATAGAGAACAGAGTAAAAAAACTCTTTGCAAAAAGTTTGTATTATAGCTCAACTAGTATGAAAGACACAAAGAACATTAACAAGAACTTCAAATGTTATTTTCAACGAAAGAAAATGATGATCGAATCAGTAGCTGCAATTTTCTGGACTCGACGTCTAAAACGATGTCTAAATAAAGGAGGAGGAAGGTTTTTATTAAGATCCGAATTTCAAAATTATTCAACGCTGATCAGAGAGAAAATCCCTCAAAACGAAAAAATTGAAAGTCGAATATTTTCTCTGAAAGAATCTAAAGATCTAATATCGATATATTCGTTAAGTTTACTAGAGCTGTATATTTTTCGAATAATGGTGCTTGAATTTTTTGGAAAATCACACGAGGCAATCGTTACTTTTATTGACTGTTTGGAAAAAAAAATCAGGTTTTCCATTAGGTTTCATTACATTATTCGAGATAAAATTCTCCGCAACGATGGATATTTGATGCTATATTTCTACAATGAAGTTCTCAAAAAGAACATCAAGATAGGGGATTCGCAAGAAGCTGTCTCTGCCAAAATAGACAATGCACTAAAAAAACATACAGTTGAAAATATATATGGATATTATCAAAGGCTGAAAAAAACGACCACATTACATCAACAAGTCTATGATGAAATACTCGACCGATTTGCAGCATATCCAGAATACGAAAAGATTGCGCTTGAATGTTATGAAGAAATGAAAGTTCTCAATTACTTTCCATGCACGTATACGTGTAATCGACTGTTGCGAAGATTATCCGAGACGATTGGCTACGGATTTGATAAAGAGGTTCCAGTTATTTACGTGGATATGATGGAATATGGTAGGAAGCCTAACCTAGCCACTTTTAATATTCTGATGGGATTTTATGCTCGTCGTAGAAATTATAATAATTTTTGGCGAATTTATCAATTATTAAGAGAAGCAAATCTAGAGGCAAACAAGATTACGTATCAGATTATACTAAAGATCTTGGAACAACCGTTACCACACTCCCAACTTATCGCCAATACAATAGAACATTTGGAAAAGCTTAAAATCAAACCTGATGAGCGAACACTTAATGCCCTATTGGCCGGTTTCGGAAATATAGGCGATGTTATAGGAGCAGGGAAAGTGTTGGACATGTACAAAATACACTCGATAGTACCGTCGATCAATACATATAATATATTACTAAAAAATTTACTTACATTCGGATTAACACGAATGGCCGTTAAAATTTACGAGCAAATGTTGAAAAATGGACCACCGCCAGATCTCATCACATATAATCTTGTTCTGAATATCTACACGAGAGAAAAACACCTCAGATACATGAAATATGTAAACATGGCAGAAGACGTATTGAACACAATGCTGGCCAACAAAGTCTACCCTGATATTTTCACGTGCAACATGTTACTCATTGCTAATTCGCGCAGATCTCGTGTTGATGGTATCAAAAAAATCCTTGAAATCATGTTAGAACAACAATTATATCCGAATGTACACACTTTATCCATTTTCATACATATATTTGTCAAGGCTGGAAAAGTTAAGACTGCGCGACAGCTCTATACTAAGTTGATTGAGAATGCTCGATTCAAGCATGAGAAAAAAGCACACGCTATCATGTCTACAAACTTGATTCACGGCTATTTGCATTATTATCAAGATTTTGTCACTGCCGAAAGTCTATTTCAAGATATGATTGAAAATAGAATCATTCCTACCATCATCACCTTTAATACCTTGATATATGCATACACTCATCGCTCAACGCTTAACATAAAAAAAGCGATCAAATTATTCACTGAAATGGAAACAAAATATAAAGTAGCACCGGACGCTGCTACTTTTCATCATATGATTACTGGATATATGGCAATAGGAGAAGTGGACAAAGCTTTAGAAGTATATTACGAAATGTATAGACGTGGAATTAAACCAAGTGACACAGTTCTGTCACGAATCCACTTCGAAATCAATTATATCTTAATGGGAGGAGATAAAGCTAAAGAAGAAAAAAAGTCAAAGGATTCTATTAACATAGAGACAATAGAGACAAAGGATTATACTTATATAGAGGAAAAAGAGACAAACATCTCTATTATTATTAAAAAATAGATTTATTCAAGACGTTAATTTAACAACATCAATTAAGGATCAACAGGGAATCAAAACTTTAGTTTTATGGTTTATTTGCGTCAGGGCTACACTTTAGGCTTGGGCTAAGTAAACTTGTTGAGATGCAAACATATCGATTGTGGTCAGTTTTGTGTTCTTTTCGCCCGTTTGATCAAAATCTATTATAAATGCGATATCTCTTATACGTTTATCTAAAAAAAAGGTATTATACCTCTGTAATTGTATACAATCCTCATATAATATAATAACCAATCTAAACACCTTTTCTTTTTAATGTTCAAAGTGTGGATCTTGATATGCTTGCTACTACTTTTACACATACTGTATACTAGAAGTGATGATTATATTATTAATGTCTTTTAATCCCTGGAATATTTAAGTATGGGCCTTGCTCATGAATTATTTTTCTCGCTTATTGTCTTCCTTTGTGGTGACACATCTTTTTACGATATTATATGCTTCAATATGTTGCTTTGATGTTGGGTATACTGCCGTCATATCCATTAATATGCGTACAATTTCAAAGTAAATTGCGTTATGGGTATAACGTTCAGTGTTCAACACTGCATACTACAGATTTATTAACATGAAATCATGCACATGATGTAAATCGTCAAACGACGATCTACATTCGATTTGCAGGTTATTGTTCGACTGTAAATACGCGAAAACCCTCCTTAAGAATTTGTGTTTTCGCGTTTGAATTCAATTCGATAACTATTATTCATCAAGATATTATGGGCCCTCGTTTACCGGTCGTATGTTTGGTTCGTCACGGTATTTGATATGAACAAACTGATAATAATTTGATTAAGATTAAAAAGGAAATCGAATTAGTAACATATATATATATATAATGGAATACTCACAATATATCGTAAATTATAAATATAATCAATGAAACAGGAGAAACAGAATGGTCAAAAAACGGCAGACATACTTCAATAACTGAGGTAGAATTAACTTCTCATGGTAGAACCCAAGCACGTGATTTATCACGATTCGTATTTGAGAATCCGTGTCAAGGTAAATTGATACAGCTATCAACTCTCTAATCCTACAACTCAGCCTTTTTTGTTTATTAACCCAAAAAAGACTTTATTGACCCGACAAACATCACCCAAATTTACGTATCACCACGTCGTCGTGCACAACAAACCCTTGAATTGGTAACTTTGCCAAATAAGAGCGCTATCCCGACTATTACTGAACCAAATTTGACGGAATGGGATTATGGGGATTATGAGGGTATCACAACGCATGAGATTCATAGTAACACTTATGCGTTTTGGGATCTTTGGTGAGTGATTGAATGTGAGTTGGTCGATTTAGTTCTTTTATATGTATATATATGCGTAATATGATCAAAGGCGCGACGGGTGTCCAAACGGTGAAACGATTGAACACGTATCAAACAGATGTGATCGCGTGATTGCAAAACTTGTGGCTCATCACGCCGACGTAATTTATTTATTTGTTTATTCACTCTTTTTTTTTATCTACATACAACAATTATAACGATGATTTTTAATATTTTAACTCTAGCACATGGAACATAATCCAACTGGACCAGGCGGCGACATACTTGTCGTTGGTCATTCACATTTACTTCGTGTTTTAGTGATGCGTTGGTTAAATTTACCGGCATCGCATGGACGTCACGTTGTTCTTGACACCGCGGTAAGCGTGAAATCTTTTCATTTCGTATTTGCTATGTGTATGTACACGAATTATTTAGTTTTTTCAATTACAACAGAGTTTAAGTGTACTTGGATATGATCGATCGATGCGCAATCCGGTGATTAAATCATGGAATGTAACTAGTCATTTGTTTCAAAAAGTGAATATCGATACTAGCAAATCTACTGTGTAATAATTTATTCTTTTATATAATTACTGTAAGGAATTGACTGATTGATTAATTGATTGTTAATTTAATTAAATAAAGATGTCAAATATAATGATATTTAAATGATTCACGCTTTGGATCTTGATATTATCATTCTCTTCTCTTGATCATTTATTACTTTCCCTGCTTTTTACCCTTTTTCTTTCCAGCCGTTATTCGTTCTCGTATAGCAAGAAATTCCTCTTCCGTCTATTCATCCAAATTAAAATAATTTGAGAAAAAAAAGCATTTATTGAAAAAATCAGAGAAATATGTACCGACCGGTTCCTTATAATCATTTGTAACTTCCTCACCACAATCATCATCCACCACCCAATCGCCTTCATACTTTTCTTCCACGAATTCCTTGTATATCTTCGATCCCGTCTTTCGCCTTTTGTTTCTGTTATTACTGTTATTATTATTATTATTACTATTATTACTACTTCCAGCACCATACTTTTTCTCCATATTCGCAAGAAACTCACTCGTTCGTTTTTGTGCACGTTTTTGTATGATTTGCTTTAACGCGTCCTCACTATTATTACTATTATTATGATTGCTGATTTCAGTACTACTGATGCTGTTAATACTATTTTTGTCCTTCAATCCAAGTTTTCGAGCGATCTCTTCTGCTTCTTTAGCTTCACGTTCTGCATCTTTTTGACGACGTGCTGTAGCAGCCTTCGATGAAGTAGTTGTAAACTTTTTGTATGAGCGTATTTGGTCCGCGGCAATTGCTTCTTTGATTATTTTGCAGAAACGTGCTTCGTCATCGGCTGTTGAACATGGAATGTCGGCCATAATTCGATCCATATCACCCTCATGTTTTTCATAGGAATCTAAAAGATCTTTACGTTCTTCTGCTGAATCTATAACATATTTATATTCACATCAATATTAATGATATAGTTTCAGCATAACAATTATATTAATAGACTTTTTTTAACCACTCAATTTTTCACTCACTCTGATATTTATCACGAAATGCCTCAATCGACTCGGCATTAACAATATCGTTCCATAAATCTTTAAAATAAGCATCCCATCCATATTTCACACCATCCTCAAACAAATCATCAGAAGTCTCACCCGTTCTATCATACTTTTCTCGTTTCGCGGGTGTACTCAAAACATGGTACGCAAAACTTAGTGCCTGAAATTTACGAGACTCTTCTTTCTGCTGTTCCTGTGTCGCATTTGCGTGTTTGTCAGGATGGTGTTTCAACGCGAGACGGTAATATGCCTTCTTGATGTCATTTTGTGTGGCGGAATTTTCGAGTCCTAGTAGTTCATAGAGATCACCAATATCCTCACCTGATATAATGTCTTTTAGCGAGTCTGTCATTTTTGATTTGTTTATTGAGTCAGGGAAAGAAGTATTAATCTAGGCACGCGTCAAGAACGAGTGATTTATCAGCTATATACAAACGCGTGGCTGTTTAATTATTAGATTGAAAGGGATGATCATCATAGCTATAATCAGAAATTTGATAAATATTGTACATTTGATTTAAAATGCCTTTAATTACAATGTGTGGAATCCCAGCAAGTGGGAAGACTACTTGTGCTAGGCGAATTGAGGAGTATTTTCGAAAACGTTTTGTTGACGAAGGCATGACCAGAAACAGCATTCACTTTATAAATGACAACAGTCTAGGAATATCAAAAGAAAGCTACAAATGTAACGTAATTCACACTAATTCAAGCAGGAAAATAGGATTTATTTTCGTTAATGATAATAACTCCATTATAAATGAAATAAAAGATACAGGAACTGAAGAAAAAAATTCTCGAGGCGCATTATTATCATCGGTTGAGAGACTTGTATCGAAGGAAGACGTGGTGATAGCCGACGGGGTTAATTATATCAAGGGATTTCGGTATCAATTATATTGTGTTGCACGGGCTGTTGGTACTCCTCATTGTGTTGTAAGTTTTACGACTAATATCGTAATAATTAATCTGCTGATTGATAAATTTTTAATGTGTGTGTCGGATTAAAGGTATATTGTGGCACACCTGTTGAAAAGGCACGGACTTGGAATTCGAGTAGACCGGAGGGAGAAGAACGATACGAAGAATCAGTGTGATTATTAAGAATTTTGTTTCTCATATTTCTTAATTCTTGAACTAATATTAATATGAATATTTATAGATTTGATGACCTAGTCAGCAGATTCGAAGAGCCAAACGACCGAAATCGATGGGACTCGCCACTTTTCACGGTGATTTACGATGATCCAGATATTCCATGTGATGATATTTGGCAGGCGGTTATGGTGAAAAAAGCGAAGCCGCCGAATTTATCGACTGTAGTTGTACGTAACGATTATTAATTAATTGATCAATTTTTCTAATTTAATTTTTGATTATTTGATTTTTTTGTTGACTGTTTTTAAGAAACCAGTCAGTGAAACCAATTACTTATATGAGCTGGAAAAAACGACCCAAGAAATAATCAACCAGATCCTAGAAGTTCAAAAAAATAGCGTTGGTGTTGGTTGCGAAATAAAGATTTCGCGTATTGATAAAATTATATCCTTTTTCATTTTCTCTTTCTATTCTTTATGACGATATTTCTTCTTTTATATATTTCTTAATATTCTAATTAATAACAAATAACACGTGAATCTCCCATCAAGAACATTAACACTAGCTGAACTACGTAGGCTACGTCGCCAATTCACAAATATCAACAAGATGCACACGTTGCTGGATATGAATCGCGTAGCAGAGTTATTTGTAGAGTATTTGAATACGAATGTTAATCGATAGCTTTTTCTCTTCGGATATTTCCGCTATGGCTTTTTTTGAGGATCGAATGATAATAATAGATCACTATATTTATAATACGATTATGTTAATTAGTCCAAAGGTAAGCCTTTAATTTTTGCTTTAAATTTTTACGCGTATTAGATTATCAAGATTCCCAGTCGATTTGCTGCCACCTCAACGTGGTGACTGGGTGTGAACGGAAAATGCGTTTGACCGGCCAAGAGCAGCAATTCTTCCATTTCAGTATTTATTTGTTTGATTTGCGGATGATGATCAAACGCGTCATATTAATTTTACATTTATATTTGTTGTACAAAAGATATTGGTAAACGGAAAACGAAAAACGAAAAACGAAAAAAATATGTCTTAAAGTTTTTAGAGCTGTTTTTCAGAATAAAATATTGATTTTTTTGCAAAGTGCGAGTTATCATTATGTATTTTGAAAAGTTCTCAATCGATTAAACCGTTGATTTTTATTTCTTTCTAATGAAAATCATTATACAATTATCACACATCTGATATCTTCAATTATTAAAAGATGTCCTGAGAAGACTGAGAGAAATCTTGGATTGCTTGTCAATTCTATTCAAAAAATGACTCATGTAAGATCATAGTCAATAGGATTAATCATCTTTTAATGTCTTGTAACATACCTTTTTGGAAGCCTTAAATTAAGACTCAGTTGATGGTTTTTGGAAGATGATCAACGACGATAGTTCCTGGCATTTTGAGGGTTTGAAGCTTGGCTGTGATAACAATTTCGTTGTCATTTACAACATTGATCGCAAGAACCTCCTTTGATTGAAGAACTTCCAGAAAGGTATTAAGAAACTGTTGATCTTATTCCTTCCGCCATATGTGATGACATTGAAAGATGTGTTATTTCGATTGAGTAAAGTATGCATGTTTCAGCGTCATTCTTTACTCATATTTTTTATTTTCTGACTTAAAAATTGCAATGAAAAAAATATTAAAAGCTGCGAAAGCATCCACCAAAAATCCTACCTCCAAATAAGGGATCTTCCGTTTTGTATTGAAATAATATGAGGCTCTGATCGTGATTGCAGTATTCTGAGGTCCGTCCATAACGAGGCCTTTATAACTATTAAAGAACGCACTGGCTTCGAAGGGTGTGAAAATGGATATGACCGTATCTATAAAAAAAAGTATCAGCAATAAATCATATTTTAAAACACATAACGGAGCGTTCCGGCTTTCCACAACAATCACGACTCTTACGTGTTGAAAGAAAGTGATAAGTTAGCACTTTTGCAACTGGGAAAGGTAAAGTGGCACATCCCCCGAAGGGGAGGTAACATCTCACAAAGGAATGGGGAAGGGTACAATGATCTTCTCGGGAAACGAAAAAGAATATTCACTTCAACACAAAGAAGATATGCACATTCCACAAATGAGATGGTAAAGTAATAACACCTCAAGCCTTCCTGCAAAGAAGTGGCACATCCCACGAAGGGAAGGTAAAGTGGCACATCCCATGAAGGGGGGTTCCTTAAAGCAAGGCAAGCCGTTTAGCTGGCTTAGCCACAACACGCCACCTCTGATCGGTAACACATGATT